TATATATATATTTTCACCCATTTTTGGATTCACTTTGCTATATATCACTTAGATAAGCTTGAGATTTCTATGTTTTTTATATATTTCGCATTTGTTTTATTTTATTTTATTCATTTGTTCACTGATTATTATTGATTACTAACACTCATTATCACGCCAACACTGTTTTAATTCACTCACTGGTGACCCTGAGCGCTGCACATCCAGTTACATACTATTTGACCCCAGTGGCCCTAGTACAGCAGCTCTATATTTTTTCATATATTTTTTCATTTTTTTCATTTATCCATATCGATCTTTAAAGCGCGGATTATACATATTTTTATTTTTTAATGTTTTTTTCTAAGTTTTAAAGGGCCTGAAAAAAATATAGAACCTTGCCTAATTTGTATTTCTGTCTCAGTCCTACAAGTAACATTTTTCCTTACTTCCTGGGTGGTCAGTGAAGATAATATTCTCAATAGGGAGGCGAACAACAATAATAATTAAAAAAAATGAGGTCCTAATTCTTCCCCACTTAAATACTGTATAAGAGCTGTTATTGTTGAATGTTTTCTGCTGGATAGATTTCCCCCATTTCCTGTCTTGGTGACAGTCGCCACTTAGACAGGAATAGGGGAGAACTCCTTTCTCCCCATGGGGGCAGCAATAACATTCAGTCAGATGTTGTGAGGCTGTAACTCTTTTGCACCCTATTCAAAACAAAAAGATATAGGAGTGTTATTCTGAGGCTATATGGATATGCTAGTGAAAGCTACATTTTACTGTTGCTATGTGTATACCTTAAAAGCCTTGATTTGCTCGATAATGGAAGAACACATAAGAACTGTACTGCTTTCCTTCTTCTCTTCTTCCACCTTATCATCTGTCAATGACCTTTGAATGACTGCCTTCTTCTTCTCCTGTTCTGCCTTCTTTTCCTTCTGCTGGAACAGTTTCATCATCTTATACACCTCTCGGAAGAATTCATCTACTTCAGCTTCCATGCTCTCTCCATTCAGGTCAAGAAAAGCTCCATCGGTCCACCTAGAGAGCAGAGAATACAGTGGACTGATAGAAGAGAAAAGCTATGTGCTATTAAAAGCACACATCATCAGCAGGACTGAGTATGTCGAGCCCACCATTTCCTACTAAGCAACGTCTACTTGGCCCCAGTTACCCTTTCCATCTATACTATAAACCCATACACAGAACACAGATTAGACAATCATGTATCTCTAAGGCCTGGTTCACACCTGGGCGTTTTACAGCGCGTTCTGTAAAACGCTCAACATGTGAAAACCAATGATTGCCTATGGGCATGGTTCCCACCTGGGTGTTTTACAGCGCGTAGGAAGTACAGGAGCTTCTTTGGGGTGTATTTACCGCGCGTATCCATTGGTAAAAACACGCATATTCTATACGCCTAGGTGTGAGCCCAGCCTAAGTGCTACAGCCTAACTAGGCTTCACCCTTCTAGGGGCAATGGACTGTTTATTACTGCATATGAGCTGGCTCTCTGCCACAGAGTATACTGGTCTGCCTGCCTCCTGGTAAGTCTACAAGGAGCTAGGTAGTATTTTATACCCTATGGTAAGAAGCTGCCATATGAACAGCATTACACAGCCCCTTAGCTACCAGGAAACTAAAATGGTGACCAACCGTAGGCTACAGAACTTAGCAATGGACTTAGAGGATTGTCTCATCTTAGATCTGTGTTTGGCTATATAAAGTAGTTTTGATGGGGAGGGCGAGAGTGGCCAACTGGGCCTTGTCTATGGGACATCTTTCAGATATTAGATGACATTATGGGAAGAAAATAATATATTACAATCAAGAGACATTTACCAAAAAATCTACATGTATAAATGTAATTGTTTCTGAATTGTAAGATATTAGTTACTTGTGGAAAACATATATGAGCATTTCACAAGGACATACTTCTTTTCAGCCCTTTGCCATTTATAAATGAGGGCAAACAGTTTCTGGTATGGGTCGATGTCAGCTTTCAAGGCATCCAGCTCAGGGTAGCTTGTCAGGTCCCATTTGTACAACGCTTCTTCTTTATTAATGTAAGCTATGACCTCCTCGGCATCTGCTATTCGCTTCTGTACTGTTCTCACGTCTGCCACATACTGCAACCAGATGGAACATTAAAGGTAATAAGATTGTGGATTATAATGTTAAAGATAATTTGCATATAAACAGATCACACAGTGACCACATTGCATTAACAGAATAAAAACAACAATTTCTAAGAAAAGATTTCTGCTATTTATTGGGTCCTTACCATTCAAACACATGCACATGTGAAAACAATTAAAAGGAAAAAACCTATACATGTCCACCCCTATCTCCCAGTATTGCATAGCTTAGCAGATCCGAACCAGGAAAGACTCTGCTCCAGAGAGGCAACAGGACAGTCCCTAATTACACTGTTAGTCAGTATGATGTTTAGGATGGGTGGGACAGACATTGTTTTCTTATAGTTTACTCGGGGAGCAGAGCATGACTTCTGGGTTTCTTCTTATAAATTTACTGAAGGGTGCAGCATGACCTCTGGAGTTTTCTCTTTATAGTTTACCGAGGGGCAGAGCATGACCTCTGGGTTTTTTTGTTATAGTCTACTGGATGGCACAGCATGACCTGTTTTTCCCCCTGTAGTTTACTGAGGGGCACAGCATGACATCATGACATCTTGTTTTTTTCTAGTAGTCTACTGGAAGACAGAGCATGACTTCTGGGTTTTTTCTTAAGGTTTACTGGGGGGCACAGCATGACTTCTGGGTTTTTTCTTAAGGTTTACTGGGGGGCACAGCATGACTTCTGGGTTTTTTCCTATAGTTTACTGGGGGTAGAGCATGACTTCTGAGTTTTTACTTATAGTTTACTGAAGGGCACAGCATGACTTCTGGGTTTTTTTCTTAAGGTTTACTGGGGGGCACAGCATGACTTCCGGGTTTTTTTTAAATAGTTTACTGGGGGTAGAACATGACTTCTGAGTTTTTACTTATAGTTTACTGAAGGGCACAGCATGACTTCTGGGTTTTTTCTTAAAGTTTACTGGGGGGCACAGCATGACTTCTGGGTTTTTTCTTATAGTTTACTGGGGGTAGAGCATGACTTCTGAGTTTTTTCTTATAGTTTACTGGAGGGCACAGCATGACTTCTGGGTTTTTTCTTATAGTTTACTGCAGGGCACAGCATGACTTATTAGTTTTTTCTTATAGCTTACTGTGGGGAGCAGGACATGACATCTGGGTTTTTTCTTATAGTTTACTGGGGGTGGGAGGGGGGCAGAGCATGAGCTCTATGTTTTTTCTTATAGTCAGTAGGTAGTAGATGCTAGGGACCATTTCGTTTTAATTCTTCCTCAGTTAGGTTATAATTTAGTCAGATTTATCATGGGGTGGAACAGATACTTAACTGCATATCAGCTGCCTTCCTATTCCAATCCGTGTATGGCCAGCTAAAGCAGTTGTGCTTTACTGCTCCTTCTTACAATGCAAGTCCATCCACCCCTGTGGGTCTGATACCTTATTTGGACAGCTATTAATTAATACATTCATGCTGCCAATTGCTTAAGAGGAAGTTTCTAAAAATGTGACGGTAACATAAAAAAGTACTCCAATATCAATTCCAATTATTGTATGGCCTCAGTGGGAAGTACATTAGATTTTCCCTAACTAAACCCAACTAAACCTCGCTAGACACTGGCAGGTTTCCATATGAACCTCCATACAAAATAAATCACATCAGAACATTTGACAATACCATTAGAGATTTGACAAATGTTGTTTGAAATTTGGTTTGGTCTTAAGATTCGATTTTAGAATGAATGGAATTTCCTGAACGAAAACCACATTCACTGTTAGAATTTCGTCTCTTTGAGAAAAGTTTTTCATCCTCCTCAAAAACGATTCATGATTTGACACCATCAACTATTAGAAAATCGGACATACTTTCTAAAAACAATTTTTTTCGAAAGAATTTCTACTGGTGTATGGTCAACTTAAGAAAAACTGAGGAAATATTCTTTGCATTTAGGATAAGTTCTATTGGCTGCAGTAATGTCTGTTCTTCTCTCCTTTGTTTTTCGATATGAGGATGAAAGAAAGAAATAGATGAAGCCACCACACAACATGTATAAGTCCTACCTGCTGCATCATATCCAACTCAGAGCACTCTGCAAACTCCTCCATCCGACGTGACATCTTTTCCAGCTCAAGCATGAGCTTCTCTCTCTTCCCCAATAGTTCACTCTCTCCTTTACGCTTGGCCTTTTCAATCAGCTTTAAGAGAAAGACACAACATATGAGCACCTGGTACACCATTGCTGCTCCTAGGAAAGAAGCTCTATTATATTGTTAAAGTGGCAATGTGTTTATTCAACAAGCCAGTGGAAAGATCGAATTTGCCTACACCCAACCTCATTTCAGTTGCCAAAAAGAGCCATACATTTACAAACTAATCTGACCCATCAGTTGGAAAGATACCATATCAATAATATATCAATTTTTAAAAAAACTATGCAATGTGCATTAGCAACAGCATGCAATGCAGAGTATGTTACAAATTGGCTAGCGCAAATGCATATGCACACAATAATGCACGCAGTGTGGTGTAAACAAATCCCCAAACTGGCCAACCAGCTCCAGTTTTGGGCAATTCCTGCACAATCGGTCTTAATTTGAGCCATAGGGTGCCTACCCGGCTGTTCACACCACACCCGGCTCCACAAAAATCCACTAAAAAATCAAACGAATTTGAAAAAAATATCGGCTGAACTGTAACTACATAAAGTCACAGTGGTTGAAGTCAGATCAGCCAGCAAGGCTAAACGAGAGAAATGTAAACATGTATGGCTAGCCTAAGGGATTGACTGCCTGAACCTCCAGCTGTCCACCATCCACTCTCAATGCTTCTGTTCAGTGAGAAAGCACTGAGTGGCCACAAAGCCATTTTCATTAGACAGTGAGACAGCTGCTTGGTTGAGCCTAATCCAGGGAAGTCAAGACCTAAGTAAGAAGGTGAAACCAGGAAAAGAGGAGTTCACAGAGGAGGGTATTCCCGCTAATAAAGGTAGTTAACAGGCAGCATTTGTGGCTTGCTCTTAGGACTTCCACCTTTGAAGGTTTAAAATGGCTGATGGGTGAAATTTAAGTTAATAGGTTTGTCAATGAGATCTCCCAAGTAGAGTTTTCAGAACAATTTTCAGCTACCTTCAATTTCTTCATTTAGAAAAAGCTCCTACTGCTTCCAAAATCTCAACAGGAAGTTTAAATGATGCCTCCTGTTGTGTCCCACTTATTATGTGTTCTATTGTATTGGTAATATTGATATATCTACTAATACCTAGTTTATTTGTGTCTTTGGTACATTCCATTGCTTCCCCACTTGTTTTGTGCTAGCTAGTACATTTCTAACTAGATCCTCACAGCAGGGCCGTAGATATCCATCGTACATAGCGGGTTGAGCCGAGCCGGCCCGAACACAATCAGGTAGATTCGGCCAGGACCCTCTGGGGGGGGTTTGGACCCCCCTATCCCCCCCTTATCTACGCCCCTGCCTCACAGCCTTTCTTGTGTTCCCTCACTGTAGTTTGTTTCTGCCCAGACACAGGGCTTAGAAACTAACTGTCTTTTTATACTTCAAAAGACTGGAAAAACATCCTCTGTAAAGTAAATGCTCAGCGTTTGAAAGGTAAAACGACATTGGGTGTAACTTCTGTGTCTTATTGGAGAGTTAAGCTGTCTCTGGATTCTGCTGAATCAGCATGTGACCATACTGTCACATACAGACAGATCAAGATCTATGGAGGTATGCCAGTGCATAAAGTGGCAGTTAAGACAGAGCACCTCCTCTTCTCTAACCTCAGGAGGGACTTTGAGAATTGCTGTGCAGCAGGTTTTAGGATGGGTTCACACCATTTTCTGGACCAGATCTGGAACGTGGTGTATTGCGTTTTTGATGAGTTTTTGACACGTTCCATTTTTGGGGGGGGCTCTCAGTATGCCAATAATGCTCTGAGATCACTTCCTTCTGCTTCTGAGCTCTTCCCTTTGTTTGCGTGTGGAAAGGTGGGGAGCAGACATGTATCACCTATATGCAGGCATGCTGTTAGTGTTGGCTGCAGCAATCCTCAGAGAACGTGCTCGCAGGAGACGTCATTTTTGGGTGCACTCGCTTCTGAGGCTAAGGGAATCAAAGGGTCAATTTTGAACTTTATTTGCAGACCTTTGCTTTGGGTCATACAGTTCAGGGTAATGCTCTACAAGTTCCACAAAATATTCTGTATCTACTTCAGCCATCATTATTCCTTTGTCATGCAAAATCTCCTCTCCTCAACACAGAAAGTCCAATGGTGATAATATTATCCAAGCTGGCTTTTCATTTAGTTGCGTTCCGTTTGCAGTGCATTTTTGACGCGTTCATGCGCGTTCCGGTGCGTACCAGACCAGACAAAATGAGGCATGCAGTATTTTTCTGATCTGGTCTGGTCTGGAACGGACTGCGATGGTGTGAACAGAGCCCAGAAATAGCATAGGGATATATTAGGATGCCGTTTGGGTCCGAAAAACAATCTGGTCAGGTCTGGAGGTAATCTGGATGTGGTGTGAATGGGCCTTTAGGCGTACCATTTCCCATTTTACCTCACTTACCTCATCATTTTCATCAAACACTGGGTTAATATTTTGAGGCCACAATAACACTGTCGAGTTTAGGGCAAGATCTGCTGGTGAAAATAAAACTACATCTAGAAGATAATTCATTCTTCTCTGGCATTCCTGAAAGAAGAAAACAATATCACAGCAGGAAAATGTTTTCATAGTAATCTTATGCATTTTTATTTCAAAAACTTTAAACATATGCTGTGCTATGCAATATATATTCCCTATAAAAAAATAACATTTAGTCATAACAAATCTACATGGTAAAGCAGAAAGGAAAGGCATTTCAAAGTCTGAAGGTTCATAGAGTTTTCTAAGCAGAAAGAGCTCCATGATTGGAGCCGGTCATGTGACTTCCCACTTACAACTCCTGAGCCCTGAAGAAGGGGGAGATTTTTTAAGCCCCCTGAAATGTGTAGGCTGTTTTGTACCATCCTGTTATAAACTAATACTAACAAAAGAATTTGGACTCTTGGATCTTTTGTTTGGTGCTATCATTAGACTTTGTACCTGCTGATCCTCAACCCTGGGTTCCCCTTTTTAAATGAGTGCCCCATTGTGTGAAGGGCAGCCTTACCAGAGCCACTGTGCCCTGTTACCGAAGTTACAGAATTTACAGAAAATTCAAATCAAGCACCTCGTAACTTAGACAGGCCACGTGACCGGGCTCTCCCACCAGCCCCATTCATTCCCGTTGCACTCCGAGACGTCAGACCTGAAACCAGCAGAGTGCAATGCGTCTTTGTAAAGCACACTGCTGTGCTTTTTAAATGTCCCACTAAAAGGATAACATTTGAGACCTCTAAAGATTATTTGGGAAAAATAACTGTAGAGGACAAATCAAACCTTGTCTAACAGTTTCCTTCTGAATGCTGACTATGAACACCATTGGAAACTTGTCCTAAATTCTAATACAGAGCATCAATAAACAATTACTGTTTTGAGGGAAATACATACCAAGATTCGGGATTTCAGAGCTACAATGCCTTTCGTTTTAGCCTCCTCAACAAATTCAATCTCTGCAATTACATCTTCTGTTGTTTCAGGAACTTTTAACACCTTAACTTTAATGGCCTCGAATTCCGTACAGATGCTGCAATATAAGGGGAAATAAAAAGCAGACTGAAATGTGAAAGAAAAAGCTGTCAGCTAATTGTTACATAATGCATGTCCTAGGCAAGACATGGAACTGAGGATGCTGAGCTGTGAGCACTTTGATCTCCTGGAACCCTATATCAATGATAGCAAAGGTATTAGAAGCTTTTGGTGGCCATTTTCCCCCTGTACAAGGTGCTTGGTTTCCAGCCTATTGCAGGTTGCATGCCTGCAGCCAATCTACTCTTGTCCTTTCCGTTATAGAGCTAGTTCACCTGTTGCTCGGGGTTCGAGCAACATGTTGGTTGACTAACCGCTGGACCCCCTGTGTTCCTAGTATATGCTCTTCATGTTTCCAGTGTACCCCTGTGCTTCCAAGTATTCCTGTGCTTCTTGAGTACCCTTGTGGTTTTATCTGAATAGCTTTCTTCCCTGTTCTGCTATTTCCAATGTTTCTTGTAACCTGTCATGTTCCTAGTGTAATCCTGTGGATGTTTACCTAGACCTGCTATTCCATTCACCAGTGAGCCATGTGTTCAGTTGAGCTGTCTGCACATGTGCATTACTTGAGAGTTCATACAATCTGGCTCCTGTGTGTCTGCTTTCTCCCACCTACCTGCATCCTCTGTGCATCAGCCTGTGGTGTGTGCCCTGCTCTGCAGGGCTGTAAGACTCTCCCCTGTGTTCCTGTGTATCAAGAACCACTGTGGAACGCACTCCCTCTCCTTTGTGTATCAGTGACCCTGTATTTTTGTGTGCATCCTGAACCACTGCGCAACACACATTCCCTGTGTGCCGTCATACCCTGAATCACTAGCGCTGTAAGTAACCTGCACTTCTGTATTTTACCAGACTTTCCCTGTGTGCCACGGTACCCTGAATACCAGTGCTGCAACTATCCTGCACCTCCGTGTTGTATCAGACTTCTTCCCTACCTGCCACTGAATCTGACACCTCGGTACTGTATCTGTTTTCTTCAATCCCTCTAGTACTGTGTCTGCGGTAGAGGGCCGCAACCTTGGAGCTGTCCTGCAGCTAAACCCAACCCTCCTTGTGGGGGGGGGGGATCTGATGAATATCAGACTTAGACTCTGTGCCTATATCACACCGACGCTAAACGCACAGTTACTTTATCCCTATGCTCCTTGTGTTCAGAGTCCCAAGTGTAATTCCAGTTTTTGTTAGTGTCTGGCTGTCCCGAAAACCCCAGTGGCGGCATCCCTAGTGACTATTGGCATGCTTTGCCCAAGACTCCCACCTCACCAGTATCCAATGCATTTCACTAAAAGGTTTTAGACGTATTCACCTGCAATGTGAAACCCTCTAGCCAGGTTATTTAAGTGTAATGCCAGTCAAAACGTCTATTTTAATTTGGAACAGAGTGGCATAGGGTTTGTACCTCTGGCATATTTTTACTGCTATCAACTGGGAAAATTTCCCTTCACTTAAGTGTAGTCACCAGACTGTGAATGCAGGGAACTCTCCCCAGTGGGGACCCAAAGAGCAACGGAAACACTTTTTTTTTTAGTGTGGAAGCACTAGGAACTCTGTTTTATTTTTCATTGATGTTTGTGTCGCCATTGGGAGGTTTTCTCCTCATTGCCTGGGTGGTCCTAAGGACAGGACGTGAGTATAAATCCCCACACCAGTGAGGGCAAATCTTATGTGGGGTATACACGGTTTAAATTTTTTTGTTCAACCCACGGGTTGAATGAAAAAATAGAACAGATTACTCTATTAACGTTTATGAACATTAATGGATCAGTCCCTTGCTGTTTGCATTGTATTCTAATAGCGGCTGGTGGCCGCTGTTAGAATACCTGAATGAAGCTAGCAGCTGATTAGGTGCCAGCTCCATTTGGCCAAGAATTTTCCAATCAGCTGATGAAGGGATGCTGGGCAGAAGGGTGTCAACAGCGGCACCCACAGTACAAATTTCAGCTGGTCCATCAGGAAGCAGCTTAAATTCGAACCATGTATACCAGGCTTCACACTAATGGCATAGTGTATTATACAGTTATTGTATTGTGTGGAGCTGATGAAACTGTGAGAAAGCATTAACTATATTCTGAAAAAGAATAATAAATATAAAGGTCCTACTCACTTTTCATTCTCCGATCTGTGGTCTGCCACCAGACTCTCTAGCAATATGTTGGCTAAGCTTTTGGCCTTGTCAGCCAGCCCTTCCTTGAGATCATCACAATCCAACTGCACCATAGTAAAGTGAGCCCGTGCGGGCAGTCCCATTATTTCCCTGGCCAGGCTGTGGAACTGTTCTATGAACTGCAAGAAAAGATCAAACCGCTTGTAAAATGACTAACAGTACTAGGCAGTGCTGAAACGGTGAAAACATTGTAAAATTTAGGGACTGTGCAGTTTTGCACACTTGGTTTATATGCAGAGTTCACTATGATTAAATAAATTATGGAGATACCATCAGAGGGGGTGACACCAAAATGACTGACATTTTAGTGTCACCCCCTAAGGCAGGCACTCAGTCATAGGCCGAGAGCTTGAAAGCAGCACGAGAGAGAGAGAGGGGCACCCCGGTGGCATACCTGATCCCACCGGATCAATGTCACCTCCTCTCTTTGCCAGCGCCCAAGATGGCCACCGGCAGTGAAGTACATCACCGCGCATGTGTAGTTTTTATTTGTCTCCTATGACTTTTTCATACCGCTGTATATTCATCAAAGCTGTGCTCTTCATTCAGGAACGTCTGCACTTTCTCATCTGCTGAGCCGTCCACAAGCCAGCTGTAACTTTCAACTAAAATAAATAATAAAAAAAATTAGACTGAAATGTGTCACTGTCTGATATTAGTCTCTCTCACTAAAAGTCACAAGAGAAGAGAATCAATCCCTGGTCACCTCCCCATTGCTGCCTCCCATACACTTGTTGCTCTTCCACTAGCAGGAGGATAAATTAAATCTAAAGTGTTTTTATTTTATCAGAAATGATATTGAAGGCACAGATATTTATTTGATAAATTATAGCAATTATTTTTTGTTTTTTAAAGTAAACCTCAAAAAATATGGAGGCTACCATTGCTAACCTCCCTCTCAAATGATTATTGCTTGACTGTCTCTGGCTACAGTATTTTCTGAAAAACTACCCCTAGAGAAATAACTATGCTCCACACAACATATATGTTCTGCCTTAGTGTTACAGCTGCAAGTGTCCTCTACATGTGTAGTTTAATAGCCCCCCTAAATTATGGTCAGGTATCTACCCATCTGATGGGTGACTACAGCAAAAAACAACTTTGGATATTACACTTCTTTGGTTATCTTCCTGCTTCCAGCACGTCATTTGGACTTTGAAGGAAATGCAGCACACTGAGGTCTGCGCTCTTCCCTCCTGTTAGCAAAGTCCCAATGTTAGACTGACATGAAATATAATAGACGTTCACATTGTTGGCCCTCCCTCTCTTACTCTTAGGGGCTTCATTTATAAAAATTCTGCCCGCCATATAGATTGACAGATGCTGTTCGCATGGCACTAGTGCCCCTAGATGGCGCTGAAGAGTATAGGAATTCCTATACTCGTCAGCACCATCTAGGGGCACTAGTGCCATGTGAATGGCATCCACCCGGCTATATTACGAGCGGTCGTTTTATAAATTAAGCCCCCAAGAGTAAGAGAGGGAGGGCCAGCATCTCAGGGTGTATTATATTTCAAGGTTTAATAAATGAAGCCCTTGGTGGGCATGCAGTTATGGGAACATAACATAAAGACGTGTGCCTGGTACTTATGCAAACAGTATTTAAAAATACCTTAAATTATTTTAATTTAATACCCAGTTTAACATCCCTTCCTAAACTAAAATATTCTTCAGATCACTGACTGATAAATTACTGAACTTGTTTACAGGACAACACAAACGTGACCTGATCCAGTTTTGCAGCTTCTGGATTGTCCCAATGACAGGCTAGGGGCAAGGAGCTAACCAAAAAAGCAGAATCTCAAAAGTACATTTTTGCTACAGTCAGATGGGTGAACATGTGACCACAATTTCAGGGGTGTTAACTGTGCATATGAAGCACGCTTGCAGCTGCAGCTCTAATGTAGGACATAAATGTTGGGTATAAAAATTAAATTTTCCATTTCTGTTCTGATCTAACGGCCTGACTTTTGTTTTCTGGTAGAAGTATGTTGCTTACCATATGTCTGGAAATGGATCATGGGCTCCTTTAAATGGTGGCTGATTGTTGTTTTCAGCTTCAGAACAGCAGAATTGATGATGTAGTTAGACAATGTGGCCTCAATAATTTGAACTGTATTGCTGCCAGACAGCCATGATTGAACTGACTGAACATTCTGGAAAAGGTTTAATAGACTTAAATTAATGAACAGAAGTCAGACTTTCAGCAGCACAGAAAGATGGGTTTAAAGGAACCTAAACAGTAAAGACGTATAAGTGATATTTCAGCTACATACTCAAGACAGGTTTAAAGTTTAAAGCTATACTCTGGGCAAATAGCTAAATGCACAATGATAATACATGGGCAGCTAAGTGGTCAGCATGCTCGCCTTGCAGCACTGAGGTCAGTTCAAAACCTAGGCAAGACACTATCTGCAGAGTTTGCATGGTCTCCATGTGCTTGTGTTGGTTTCCTCCCACATTGCAAAGACATACTGATAAGTTAATTGGTTTATGTTTAGATTGGCCCTAGTATGTGTGTGCATGTGAGAGAATGACCTTAGATTGTAAGCTCCTTTGGAGCAGGTACTAATATGAATAGTATATCAATTGATTGTGCATGTGAGATAGGGGCCTTAGATTGTAAGCTCCTTGGGGGCAGGTACTAATTTGAATAGTATATCAATTGATAGCACTATATAAATATCTGTAATACATGTACAGTATGTAAACTGTTTTACATGCCGAAGGATTTGTAATTGTTTCTAGAGAGTCTTGACATTTTCAGCCAAGTTTGTGACCTCATTTTTTCCTACTGCAGTTCAGCGATACAGTCTGGTCACCTCCCTGCCCACCCCTTGTACTGGATGACAAGGGAGTAGCAGTAAACTAATGAGGGCATAGCTTCCCTCTCATTTTGTTGACATAAGTCTTGTATTTTGTTGACATAAGTCTTGTTGGCACATGTGCATGTATCAGATGTTGGCTCAGAGTGATGGCCCTCCCTCTCCAGTTATATTCTGAATGGTATTACAAGCAGGGCTGGTGCTGCCATTAGGCAAACTAGTCTAGCACCGGCCTTGATTACAAGAGGCAGGTATCAAGCCAGATTCAGGCACTTACATTAAATGTGTTTATAAATACACTGCATGATTTTAAGGAATACATAACTGCATGAAATGGTGTCTTTATATTTGCCTTGAGTTCAGCTTAAAATGGACACTGGAAGTAATGGGTATCAGCGGTTGGGGAGAAGGAAGGAACAGAGAGGGACAACAGGTAAGTAAAAGGGGGTGCGTGCCACTTTGTACAAACACTGACACTTTGCCCTGGATGAGAAAGGTGAAAGTGCATCTTTAAAGAAGAGCGCCGGTTAAAAATTTTATTAACCCTTGAAGTGGGGCTACCCCCGCACTTCAAGAGTTAAGTGCTTGTTTTGCCTAGGGTAAAAAATAACAAAGTTATACTAACCTGATCCTCCGAGCCAGCCGGCTGTGACACCACTCCATCCAACCTGTCTTCTCCTCTGCTGCAGCAATATGTCCCTTGGTGTCCTCATGTTCTATACACAGTGCATAGAACGTGATTACTCAGGGGTCTTAGACCTCTGCAGCAGAGGGAGAGAGAGGCTCCAGGGACTGGTCTAAGAGCAAGACGGTTCTGAGGATTGGGTCAGTATAATTTTGTATTTTTTAACCTAGACACAAACGAGCACTTAACCCTTGCAGTACAGGAGTAGCCCTACTGCAAGGGTTAATAATATTTTTAACTGGAGTTTTGCTTTAAAGGACAGCGTCAAGAAATACACTGATACCTGTAATGTCTCCGAGACTCTGGTCACAATGAACAAAATGGCTTCTTCTAAGTCCTGGAAGCTGGGATAAAAATCCATCTTCTCATCATCAAAGGTAAGTTGCATTTTGAAAAGCGGTAAGTACTGCGTATCTTCAGGGTCAAATAATTTTATGAAAGCTTCTACTGTCCTCTGTAAGAGGTCCTTAATCTACAGAGGAAAAGACAATACTTAGAATGAGCAAAGCTCATTTGTTCCATGTGCACAGTGGCAGTGCTGACTCTGTTACACCAGCCATGACAGTGATGACACAGTACAGTAAGTGTCAGGAAGATATATATATATATATATATATATATATGTATGTATAAAAAGCAAAACTGTAGTACAGTATATTGCAGGTTACCAATCCTCTGGTGACTGCATTAGTTTTCTTTTTAAGTTTTTGATCCGACCAGTAAATCTGTTATTTTGCAACTTCCGTTAACAGGCCAAGCTGTCCAGCAAAAGTGGCTGATTGAGGGTTGAGACAAAACAATAAACACTGACAGGGGCTCTTACAATGGTCTGCTTTTATTCATTTATGTAAAACTGTTATCCTATAAGAAAAACAGAAAACTGTTGCTGTATTTGCTTAAAATGTGTTAGCTGGAGTTCGGATTTAATTTGTTAGTCAAGTCAATCTAGATTTGCTAGTGTATCTAACACTGCCCTCCCCACAGGGTGACAACACTGCTGTCCAAGGGTGGCTCCGTTGCTCCTCCATAGAGTGGATCCACCCTAAAGCTGGTCATACAACACTAGATTTTCTATAGATTTTTTTCTATCAGCCCATGGTCAGATTCCTCCATCCATGCTAAACTGTGTGGATGGAGGAATCTCCCGCTGGGCCAAGCTTCAGTATCTTACTAGTCGGCCCCGCTGGCTTTCAAAATACCTGAACCATCTGATTGGATGCAGGCATTGTTCAGGTATTTTGAGAGCCAGAGGGGTCGACTAGCAATATACTGAAGCTTGACCCAGTAGGAGATTCCTCCATCCACACAGTTTAGCGTAGATGGAGGAATTTGTTGCACTTTTTCCATCTGACCATAGACTGATAAAGAAAATCTATAGAAAATATAGGTGTATGGCCAGCTTAAGACAGAAAGTGTGTTACTGGTCAGGTCATCAGGTGAATATCGAAGAAAAAAAAGCCTAAAAAAGAAGGATTGGTAAGCTGCAATATATAAAATGTTTATTTTGGGGTTTAGATACACTTTAATTACATTGTGCACAATGCTCTTCACACTACTGAATATGAGTGTATATATTTTAAATAGTCTTCCTGTTCAAAGCAGAAGTTAGCACAATGGGTATTCTGCACTTTGCTATGATAGAAGCTCTACTGGTCTCCAGCCACAACTCTACTTACCTGATTGGAGATCAGAGTGGAGACACAGCTGTAGAAGGAGTCTACTTTGTCAGGTTTAATGAGCTGGAAGGCTTCTTTGCTGGTAAAGAGATTGACCACTTTGGGGTACCATGTGTTCATTAACTTTTCTTCTGTCTTCGCACAAGCTAGGGACACGTTATTCTTTAATGACTCACATTCAACGGGCCCCTTCGATCTGCCAGAACATGTATAAAATCCATCAAATCAGTCACATTGCTTGAGATTTAAGTTTACATTGTAGGAATGATTTTCAGCCAAGATGAAAAAAATTAAACCAATCCACTGTACAGAAATGTACATGTATGTATATGTAAACCAGCAAAGCCCATTAAATAGTATGTGTATGTATGCATGTGAGATAGAGACTTTAGATTGTAAGCTCTGTGAGGGCAGAGTGATGTGAACTAAAGTTACTCAGTTAGTGAGACAAAACTTGTGGGGATGCCACATAAGCAGGGCCATCTCTATAATGAAGCAGCCTGAGGGGGTTGTCTCAGGCGGCATCTCATTGGGTCACATTGGGGGAGTGGGGTAGGCCGGTGTTGCCTGCTGCCTCCTTTCTGGTCAGAGTTTTCCAGGGTGCTAAAGGCTCTGGCTGGTGTTCCGCCTATCTCACTGACTTCACTGGTTGCCAGGAGCTGAGCTGGATGCTCTGGCTGGCTCCTGGCAACCAGTGTTGTCAGTGACCTGGGCGGGATACCAGCAGGCCCCACCCAGCTCCCCTGCCCCAGGCAGAGGAGAGTCTAGGGACACCCATGCACATAGGAAAGCATGTACCCAGACATAATGTATTTATTACAGGCATTGATATAGCACCTGCAATTTAGGCAGCATATCAGTCCCTGCCCCCAAGGAGCTTATAACCTAAGGTTCCTAGCTCACATACATACAAACACGAGGGACAATTTAGACAGGAGCCAATTACCTACCAGTATGTCTTTGGGATGTGAAAGGAAACCCACATAAATAAATGTGCACACAGAGCTAATTACTGCCCAGTGCTGCGACATATCGAAGCCCTGGACTTTATATCATTCTTACCAGTGCAGGCTTTAAATCATATTATTGTCCTGACTACATAGAACAAGATCCAGTAATTTTACCTGTAACCAGACAGATCAATAATGAGCAGACTTGAAAAAGCTGAGTAGCCCAGGTCTAGCATGGTCCTCAAGGCTGGATGAAGCAGGTACAAGTTCTTATTGATCTCATTTCTGGCTTGTACAAAACTCTGATGCCATGGCTTGGAGTAATCCAGACCCCTGAAATGATATTACATTTTATTAGTATATCCACACAGATCAAGCAAGGAAAACATTTTATCACACTGCTTAGCTACCTTTACAAAACCAGTTCCTCTAAACAGGACACAGTGAGGAGGAAGAGCCATGTATCATTATACACTATTAGATTGGGGCAGGAGTTTGCCAGGTAAGGGAATATACATTGCTGAACCAGCTGCTGACAAGCCTAGAGTACTCCCATGAGAACTCAATACAACTTTCAAGCTGCATGGATTGTAGTCCACATACATGATTTCTCTAATTAAACCCTGATGAAGGGAGTGTGTTTTGGACCCCTGAAACGTGTTGGCTACTCTACTTGAAGGTCTCCTTACCGTAATAAAATAAAGTTGAATCTGGACTATTTTAATTGGTGTGGCGCTTCAGTTCCTAGCTAAAGACCACAGACAGAACATTGATGTCCTTAGAGGCGCAGTCGGATAAAGATCTACCTCCATGTCAAAATAGCCTTATCTCCTAAAGATAGGAAATACTCACGTGGGATCTTCAGGCAACAGATCAGGATCTTCTGATTCCAAACCTTTAACATCTGGTTTCACCAAAAAACTTTTCACTAAACAGAAAAAGAGCAAAAACAATATACTGTGATATTATAATCACAAGAAAGCCCTGACCAAGAAAACGTACAATTTAAAGTTTCCTTCACATCTATGTACTGTATTTGCATTCATGACTCCGCTAACCTGTATTAGGATGTGCAGTAACATATGCGCACCACAGGGGCCACATATGGCTGTATATGTTGGTCATGGGTAACAGTTCCACATTCAGAACTCTGACATGTTTGGGTAAAATTCTACTCAAATATTATTGCTATCTGCATAAATTACTGTATAGCCAGACAGCTGTGCCCCCAATGTTCCCGTGCTTCTGGACCCCAGAGCAGTCTTATGGTCTGCTATGGCTATAGTTATACCCTTAGATGACAGATAGACAGGAGCAATAACTAGGTTTTGACCTAAGCTGGCCATAGCCTAATAGATATTTATTCGTTCAGCCTTGATGGGGGAATCACCTGCTGCATCTATTGTATTCTGTCAGCGAGCTACAGTGACTGCTTGTCCGACAATCTTTGGCCAGACTCCTTAGACTAAAGATGAGTGAATAATCAGCTTCTATCAAGCTGGCAAAGCCATCTACTGTAAGAAATACTAACAGTGTATAACTAACCTTAGCAGGGAACTGGAACCACATCATTCTTTATTGTCTTGGATCACAGCATAAGCTCCCTTGATACATAATGTGGAGGATCTGGATACCACTAGGGGGTTACCAAAATGACTAAAGGGAATAAAGCCAATCAAGCCATGTGCAGTACTTACCCAGGTGTCTCTTCATGCTTTTTTCAAAGTCTTGTGAAACTTCTTCTAAAAGGTCCTGAACAAGAGCCTCCATATCCCTGCCCTTCTGCAGTGACTGTGGCACCAGGGACAGCATGGAGCTTAGCCAGTGCTTCTGGATGGGCACCACTGGGCTGGACTCCACACACTTCTTCATGTACAGGTAATTCATCTGCAAGAGAGCAAATCTTACAACAAGAGTTCTAGCTTTGTAAACACATTCGTCCAATTCGGGGTGCTCCAGTTGCCCTGCAGTTCACTGTACTTGACTTACTTAGTTAATCTGCAGGGGCCTAAAGCTGCTGAACTTTAAAGTGAGAGTAAAATGTTTTCCTACTTTATACCAAAAATAGAAACCCCCTTCAAAAAGTGACAGTTAAATTATATCTAAAAGCCCAAAAAGAAAAAATATATATATAGTTTACCAGTTCTTATATATGGTGGCTGCATTAGATTTAATGTTTCTCATGTGTCAGGCTAAGAACATTTTCAACAAGTACAAAAAATACCTGTTGACCTACCAGAAATGCCGTGTCCTTGTCGCTTCCTGTGATCAACTCACAGGAAGTGACAAGGACACGGCATTTCTGGCAGGTCAAAGAATTTCTGAAAGCACAAACAATGTTATCTTCTTTCTGTAAACTGCTAATCCTCCACACCATGTAACGGAGATGAACAAAGGCAGACATGTTTAAAGACTGACCCGGTCACAACTATGGCTCCCTCTATTGATACAGTTGAGTAAGTGAGCGTAGCCACCCAGGTACCGGAAGTGTTGTATTTATAGGTTTAAAAGGTGAGTATACAGTATAAGGGAAAAAAACAGAAGAAAAATAAATAATGCAGACACCTTGAAAAAGGACTGGTAAGCTGCAATATACCACATACCGTATTTGTTTTTGGGTTTATATGCACATTAAAATGATGCTAATAGAGATGCATTTCTAGAATTTCATGAGATGTCAACCCACAGCATCTACTGACTGCTTATGTGTTATTTGAAAGGGTCACTCTTGGGTGGGTGCCACCAGGATTAATTCCCCCCAACTTATGTATCTAGGATACTACAAGATCTTATTCTCACTGGATCTCTTAAAGTGACATTAAAGTCAAAAACTTTTTTCCCTCCCCCAATGTTAATTAAAGCACTTACCTTAAATGATGTCTCTTAATCCGATCTTCCTCTTCTTTCCTGTCCTTTTCAGCCTTCTCTCCAGCGCTGACTCCTCTGTCCTTGCTGGCAGTTTCCGTCCCACGGTGTCTGCATGCAGGTGTACGCGTCCATAGACTTACCTTGTGTCTCTCCTCGTCTCCCGGCCGAAAATCCAAACTGTGCATGCGCCCACCTCAAGATGCTTTGCGGCTGCCCAAGCATTTTCAGGTTTTCGGAAGGGGACAACGCAGCAAAGACAGGGGTAACTTTAAACCGCTTTTAAAGCGTTTTTTTTTTTTACATATACATAGTTACATAGTATTTGAGGTTGAATAAAGACATTAGTCCATCAAGTCCAACCTATTAGGATATAATTCTTAGGAGTACTACTTGTACCCCTGTATTTTACGGTCCCTTAAGAAATCGTCCAAAAGTTTCTTGAACAATTCCACATTCTTTGCTGAAATCACCGCCTGCGGCAGTGAGTTCCAGACCCTAACTGATCTATCTATGAAGAACCCCCTTCGCCCCTTGTGCTGGAATTTTTTTTCCACCAATTTTAGGTGATGGCCTCTAGTTTTTGTAATGGAGTTAATTTTAAACAGTTTATCGCTAATGTTGCTACCACCATTGAACATTTTGTACATGGAAATCATATCCCCCTGCTTGCTAGCAGTAGCTATATGCAAAAAAAAAGGGAGGGTTTAGAAACCCTTTAAGGATTCTCTTCAAGGTTTACTGTCAGTATTATATGTTTATTCTTTATTACATTACATTTAACTGAAGGAGTGAGACACCTTTGGGGGCAGAGCTGGGGATGTCTCGCTAAAAAAAGCAACCCAAGAGACATCAAATGCCAGAGAGCAATTTGTTCTAACAGCATCTGCCAATAACCAAAACATTGTTTTTATTTTTTAGCTGTTACTTGTCAAAATACTCCATTGTCAAATTACTCCATTGTCAAATTACTCCATTGTCGAAATACTCCATTTTAAATCTTTGCTATATGCAAATGATACTTCCAAATACCAAAAGATCCTTGACAGCCAGGTCCAGAAACCAGCAAATCTTTATTCAAAACAACTGCAATGCACCAATAGTGTGATACAAAAATCATTGACGTGTTTCACACCTATGAGTAAGCATTGAGGTGTGACTTTTTGTAAATGATGTAAGTTTTATATATTATATTACAAATGAGGAAGGACTGGCATACAGAGCTGGATCAGAGAGGAGTCGGGTCGGGTACTCCATGAATCAGCAGTTTGTTTTATTCATTCATATTCAAATGAAGGTGTATAACCTAATAAGTGCATCACTGATCATGAAATAAAATGTTTTATACTAAATAAACAATATTAAGATTAAAAAATTATAAAAAATTAAAAAGTAAACGATAAGATAAATAAAAATTTAAAAAAGGGAAAAAAAATAAAAAAGTGATAAAGTAAAAAGAAACAATAGAAAAATGAACACTAACCCTGCTGCCCTGCCATCTGGTTGCCATTCTCCATTGAAGGGGGCGCATTGCGGAACCTGGCCTTGGGGCGGCAGGGAGAGTAAATCCGGCCCTGGATACGTGCAACAAATCAAGCTAGATCTTACATGCAACACTTTTACATTCTGGTGCTATGGCTAGATATACCGTAGCAGCCAAGCTCTGAATATGTGACCACCCATAGCTGCTCGGTCTGTAATGACTGATTTGTGTCACTGTTGTCCTGGGACTAAAATCAGAAGGTATACAGGCTGTGGATTAATATTCGGCTTCCTTTTCTTAGTGTTAATTTTGCTCTACAGATTAGACTTCATGCAGAAAGCCAGAATTGTATGGTTCCCATTCCCGGGTCCCTGGACTCAGTACAGAACTCACATGATCTCATTCAGGGTCTTCTGCTGTTCTTTGCTTCTTTTGTGTCTCATCAGCTTCTTGCTCGTAGCACTTGTGGATCTCGTTCGGAGGATGAGTGGAGGTAACTGCACCTTCAGATGCTCCCCAGCGGGGAGTTGTGAACTTCTGTTGGAAGCCATCTGGACACATGATAAAACAATCACATAACAGATATCAGTGAGTATTAATATTGTGCTGCCAAAAAAACACATGAGCTCACCTTCCAATATTATGGGCTTTAGTGAAAAATACCACATGATGGCCACTAGATGGAGCTGAGGATCAGAGGAAATAAATACTACAGCAAACTCCCCATTACCTGGTGTTCTATCGAAAGCTCCAACTCATCGAAATCTCCAACTACCTCACTTCTGGTGCTCAGAAAGACTGGAGCTCTGTACAGTTGCGGTGCAAGCTTTCCAGACTTGTTTGGATTCTCTTAGTTTTCTTTAGAGTCACAGGAGGACATTTACTATGTCCTCCTGTGACCCAAAACTCAGCATAGAGCAGGCTTCCTGAAACCCGCCCAATCAGCCCCATGTACACAGGTCCAGCGATGGAAAGTCTGAGATCTCACTTGCCACTCTGTTGCTGCCGCTGACATTTTCTCTACAGGTGGGGGGCCGAGACACGACCAGTCACCCTGCACAAGTAAGGAGAGCAGTAGTCACCGTCTTTATTACAGGAGGGGGCTGAGACAAGACCAGTCACCCTACACAGGAGAGAGAGCAGGAGTGAGTGGTCTTTATTACAGGTAGCTCCATGTGTCATGTTTGATTACTGCCCAGATCTGGAAGAACTACATAAAGCTCAGGAAGATTCCAGGAAGAACATACATGACTTTGTATGAGGACAATATTTGTCTATCCCGGAGATCTGCTTTCATTTTACAGACCATTAGCCAGCCTGTCATACAGATGAAGGACCGGGGCTGATCAACTGCATTTTAGACTTATCAATGTCCCATTTGGCTTTCATATAACCCCCAGAAACTAGAGATTTCCTTGCTCTGTGCTGGTTTGGGAATGTAAAGTTATAAGGAATGGTGTCAGAGGTCCCGAGGAAACTCACCTGCCCCGTCCCCGGACCTGAGCCCCGATCTACTGCCTCTTCTGCCCCTTCACTTGCCCTGTGTTCTGCGGCTCTGCGCTCATCGGTATCCCTCTCTATGCCATTAAACAAGCCGGTTGCTATGGGAACTGAGGGCAGGGCAAAGGGAATCAGGTCCCCGCCTCTGTCAAGGAGCTTAGGGCGGAGCTGTGCTCTGGGCCCGCCCACCTTGCTGATCTCAACGATAGTTGTAGCAGAGCGATAGTTGATTGTCTGTCACGTGTTCTGCTGCAGAGCGATGCTGCTGTTCGTGGTGACCCCCGTACACTGAGCGATGTAGAAGATCCCTTATGTTCAGTCACAGACTCCGCATCCCTCTATATCAGGGGTCTCAAAGTACCGGCCCGCGAGCCGATACTCTGTGGCCAGCTGACAAGTCGGGCACACTGTCACGGACCGCGTGCCCGACTTGTGTTGGACGCAGGCCGCAGAGCTACTCCTGTTAGCTCCTGCAGGAGCTCTGTCAATTCCGCACCATGGATGATTAGTAAGGTCTGCACTAGATCTTACTAATCACCACTAGATCTTTTACATGCAGCAACTGCCACCCATTCAAGTTAATGATCAGGTGACAGCCGCTGCATGTACGCGCCTGCATACCGCATGTAATCAGTTACAAAAACAATCACTCTCCCTGGATACACAACTGTGTATCCAGGGAGAGTGATTGATTCCTAACTGCATGTAATCATATAACATATGTATAACGTATATAGTAGCGGCTCCCATGGGACTAAAGAATTTGTCCAGCAGCCCCCGACTAAATTGAGTTTGAGACCCCTGTTCTAGAAATACTTATTTCCTGTGCTCCACAGCACCATCTGGTGGCCATAATGAGTTATTATCCCCAATCACTCTGCTCCCTATACTTATTATACAGGATTTATATAGCGCCAACAGTTTGCGCAGCGATTTACAATATAAGGAAAACATTACAATCACAATACAATTCAAGACAAGATGGTAAGGTGGGCCCTGCCCCTGAGGGCTTACAATCTAAAAAGAATTAATCTAAATGAATGTACCTATTGACGAACATTCAACCAGAAGAGAAAAATTCGGATCATTCTGAAATGAAACTTCAGACAGATCCGAAAAACAAAATAAATAAAATGATGTATCGATCCGAAAAGAAATGAAACAATTTTTTGCGGGGTTACATTAGGAACATTCAATTCTGATTCTCACAGGAACGAATGTATCTGGAGTATCTACAGATGGAGAGAGTGAGAGAGCGCAAGAGAGAGACTCCAATGTCTGCTACAGCAGGGGCACCCACCATTTTTCGTCTAGAGATCTACTTTTCAAATGATGAGCTCAATGAGATCTACCAAAGAAAAAACGCCTGCATTCAGGGGCAGGAGGGGGTGTGGCGGTGCATTGAAGTCAATGGCACCACAGCTACACCCTCCACCTGCAGTGCGATTGCCCACAACCGGAACACAGACACACTAGTGCCTACGTTCCGGTCCAGTGTGATGTGTAAAAATGCTGCAAGCACTATTTTTGCAGATCGCAATCGCACTGCAGCCGGGGGCGTGACTGCAGTGCCATTGACTTCAGTGCACCATCACCCTCCCTCCCCTGAACGCAGCGGGCTGGCTGGCTTGTGTTCTAGAGGCCAAACACTCTGGAACTCAGACTTTGTGGTGTAAACCAGCGCTCTCTCTTGGCTGTCTCTTTTCTCTCTCCTCGCCCTCTCCCGTTTCTATCTGCTCTCTTCTGTCTGTCTTTTCTTACCTCCACTGCAGCAGCTTCCCAGGGCTCCTCTCTTGCCCCGGCGTCCTGTCCTCCCTTCGTGTGGCCGACGTTGCACACGGTGAGATGTCCCGCCCCTTCCCGTCTGCGGCTTCTGACACATTCAGCCGCATGAGCACCCGCAGGAAGTCAGTGAGCCGATCGCGATCTACCAATGTTCGCTTTGCAATCAACTGGTAGATCACGATCGACCTAATGGGTACATAAGGGTACAAGGCAGACAAGTAAATTTGATTTAGTTCTGAATGGATATTCGTACAAACTTCATTAAGTTCGGACATTACAATGCAAACGATTCAAAATTTGAATGCGTCCGAATATGGGGGTTACTGGTGGGGGTTGCATTACAGGCACGGTTATGAGACTTCATTCCAAAATTGGGATCTTTCCGAAGCGAAACTTCGGACAGATTCTGAAATCCGAAAGAAATAAAAATCTGAATGGAAACAACTTTTTTTTTGCGCGGTTACATGTCTAGTACGAGGCTCCTTTGGACATTTTACACAATGAAAGAAACAACTTTATAAATAAAAAAGACACAAAGGAAAACTTTATTCACAATAAGAAATAGAATTCTGTGACGATTATGAAATAAAATGGTCGCCCGCTCCATGTGGTACTTGTAGAGTGTGGACATATCAGGTGATATCTATAGGTACCGGGGATCATACTAGGGTATTAGGTCACATAGTTGGCTATTCCCTGAAATCCCTGACTTTTGGGGGATTCTCATGGTGGCCTCCTCCAAGGGGTGAAACCCGTGATTCCACCGTGGTGCCATGTGTTAACGTGCCATTCATATTAAATGACCGCAGGTGGGTGCTGCGAGGTCTATGGTAGTCTGTGCGGACTCTCGGGTGGAGGTGCAGGTTATATGGTGGGCTGGGCGGACTCTTTGACGGTCTGTAACTGCTCTGCACTTGGTGTGAACAAGCCCTGAAATCAATGGGGATGCACACCAAAGGCAGGAAACAAGCGTGTCCTGCTACGCTATAGTGTGAATGGGGACTCATTTTGGGGATGGGGAGTCAATGTGTCCCTATTGCCCACTGTAGGACTATCATTGGTCACCACCCCCATGCCATGAGCTCACTTGTCACGTGGTGTGTCCCGGGGGAAGCGCTCCAGCAGGGGGCGCTGCAATGTTCGGCTCATCTCGGCTTATCCTGGTGGTGTCCTACAATGTGCTGGCCGATGTGTACGCCCAGACCGAGCACGCCCGCACCGTCCTCTTCCCTTACTGCGCCCCCTACGCCCTGGAGTTCCAGTACCGACACTGCCTCCTCCGCAAGGAGCTCAGCGGATATCGGGCCGACCTTATCTGTCTGCAGGAGGTGGACCGAACCGCCTTCCCCGACACCCTGTGCCCTGCCATGGAGGCCTTCGGCCTGGACGGCATCTTCCGCCTGAAGGACAAGCAGCATGAGGGCCTGGCCACCTTCTACCGCCGGAGCCGCTACCGACTGTGCAGCCAGCACGATGTCCTGATCGGGGAGGCGCTCACCGAGGACCCGCTCCACAGGCCGCTGCTCGAGCAACTCTCCCGCTACTCGGCCGCCAAGGAGAAGGTGCTGCAGAGGTCCTCCGCCCTGCAGGTGAGGCTGGTACTGGGGGAGGGGGGTGACTGGAGAGGGTGAAGGCTGCTACAAGAGGGCCTGGGTGGGTGAAGACTGGTACAGGGGGGCCTGTGGTGTCTTGGTGGAGGAAGACTGGTACAGGGGAGCTTGGGTGGGTGAAGACTGGTACAGGACGGCCTGGAGAGGGCGAAGGCTGGTACAAGAGGGCCTGGGTGGGTGAAGACTGGTACAGGGGGGCCTGTGGTGTCTTGGTGGAGGAAGACTGGTACAGGGGAGCTTGGGTGGGTGAAGACTGGTACAGGAGGGCCTGGAGAGGGCGAAGGCTGGTACAAGAGGGCCTGGAGAGGGCGAAGGCTGGTACAAGAGGGCCTGGAGAGTGCGAAGGCTGGTACAAGAGGGCCTGGAGAGTGCGAAGGCTGGTACAAGAGGGCCTGGAGAGTGCGATGGCTGGTACAAGAGGGCCTGGAGAGTGCGATGGCTGGTACAAGAGGGCCTGGAGAGTGCGATGGCTGGTACAAGAGGGCCTGGAGAGTGCGAAGGCTGGTACAAGAGGGCCTGGAGAGGGCAAAGGCTGGTACAGGAGAGCCTGGAGAGGGCAAAGGCTGGTACAGGAGGGCCTGGAGAGGGCGAAGGCTGGTACAGGAGGGCCTGGAGAGGGCGAAGGCTTGTACAGGAGGGCCTGTCTAGTTCAGGGGTGGGGAGGGATGAGAGTGGTACATAAGGGACTCGGGTGTGAAGCTGGTATGGGGGGCTGTTATACTAGTGTTTGGTGCCCACTAGTATATGCTGAAACTGGTACAGAGAAGACCCAGGGTGAGATGGGGGGGGAAATATACTAGTTTTGGGGGCCCAAAGAGGGCTGAGACTAGTACAGAGTGGGTCCAGGGTGAGACTGATACAAGGGGGGTCCTTGGTGAGTATTCTCTAGAGACTGGTAGAGAGGGTGCCCAAAGGAGACTAGGGCTGGTAAAGGAAGGCCCAGGGCATACACATTATCCACCATTATGCTGACATATCCTGAGGTTGCTGGCACTGGCTTTAGTAAATGACATGGTCCCTGTGTCGCCTTGTGGAGGGGCCCCTGCGTGGCCCCATAACCTCCACTTATTAACCTATGTCACAGAATTTTGCAATAAAACTAATTTTAATTGCATGTTGAACCATTGAGTGCTGGTGACCTATCCATTGATTCCTGAAGTTCTGGATGGAGCCATCCGTGGTGGTCACTACGGGCAACTTCTCTGTTACTATTGGTCACAGCGCCGTGTGGTGTGCGGCTGGCATCTATATCGAATCAGGGGTAATATACATGTCACATATAATGACAGGATGGAGATGTATGGGGGGAGGGGGTGAAAGGGTAACAAAGCGACCCCACAATCTGCTGCTGCCTGTTGAATGATTACATTATTTTTACTCCTTCCTCAGTTGTAAGAGGAAGAGGCGGGCTCTCAGTTGTAAACACTACACTGTTTACATCAGCGATCGGTGTGATTGGTCATCACTAGGGATGCCCCGATACTAGTATCAATATCGGTGCCGATACCGAGTATTTGGGTGAGTACTCGTACTCGCCCAAATGCTCCGATGCCTAGCAGGAGTATTTCCTGCATCAGGAAGCCGGGCAGCGCGTCATTACATGCTGCCCAGTTTCCTGATTGGCCGGGAAGCGGCTCCGTGCTCTCTCGTCACTTGACTTTTAGCGTGTAATGACGCGCTGCCCGGCTTCCTGATTGGTCGGGAAGCTGGCTTCATGCTTCCTCGTCATCTGATGACGAGAGAGCATGGAGCCGGCCAATCAGAAAGCAGGGTGTTGCGTCATTACACGGCCCCTGGCTTCCTGATTGGCCAGACGGCTTCGGCTGGGTAGCGGAGGAAGGCCGCGTTCTGGCTGGAGAGGCCCTGGGGGTGACAGGCTGGACATACCAAGGTGAGAGGGGACAGACTTTCTTGTTAATCGGGAAGCCGGGTGGCGAGTCTTTACACGCCCCCTGGCTTCCTGAATGGGACTTCCGTTACTCGGTAAGTGGTATCGGTGAGTTCTGAAAAAAATTATCGGTACTCGTACTCGGTACCAAAATACCGGTATCGGTGCATCCCTAGTCATCACCTTTGATCACAAGGTATAGGACCGCTCTGTATGCTGTGTCTGTGAAATGAGCCACCCGAGGACGGCTCGGCTCACAGGCATTAACGGCACAGAGGCCGTCCGGTGATGGTTATAGACGTCATACCAGAAATAAACGTCCACCACTTTGCCATTGTAAAGCATATGGTGGTACATAAGTGGTTAAGGTGGATTGCCGTGTCACATGTCCTGTAGGGTTTTACTGTTCGGAGGGAAGATATTTCTGTATCTGGCCTAAATCTGGCCTAAATAAATATGGTCACCTCTTTGTTATTTTGTCAGGTGACTGTTCTTGAGTCTACGAAAGACCCTTCGAAGAAGATCTGTCTTGCCAACACACATCTTTACTTTCACCCCAATGGTAAGTGTATATTGGCTTTACTTAGACAGGCACATGAGAAACAGGGGGCCTTATGTAGGAAACTAGCCCAAAAAAATCCCAAAATCGTCCTTTGCTCCCCTGGTCTCAGATCTCACTCTTGAAGGATTTTGGGCAGTGGACACGTCTGGCTGTTTCAGAAGATGTCTGCTCCCCCCCCC